TTTGAGTGATATGCATAATTTTAAATCTTTATGTTTTCACTTATAGTTTATTTTTAATGGTTTATTTTCCTTCCCTATTCTTTATCATTGATTATTTATCTTGACACATGTTTTTGGGTGATCCACAAGCAATATAACATTATTTTTGGCAGAGATGGTTTAGTCTGTGGCAAAAGTGTTTGCACTTGCTCATTTATAAAACAAATATTGAATGAGGCAAAGCACAGAATAAACTTAAAAAATCATTAAATCTATCAAATTTGAATTTTAAAACACAAATAATACATAATTAACTAACATATAAAAGTAAAACCTAAGTGCAGTTTAACTGTCTATCAAATTAATATGCACAAGGTGAGGATAAATAGCTGGTTCTAGAGATAACAATCTCCAAGAATGCACTTAGCAACTGTATGCCTTCAATAGTCAACATTTACATTCCATGAGATCATAGAAAACATCGGGGAAATATATTTTGAGATCAGCTATTTCTGTTGGTTATAAGCATGCCATTCAAATCTGATATGTTGCTATGCAACAGCTCTTTCTAATTTTGTGTGGGTGTGGCTCCTACTGGAATTCCAACTAGTTAGTGGTAAATATGCAGAATATGTGTGTACTTTGACTGTCTTGGCAAAAACTGTACTAAGGCACAGCACACTTGAAATAAAAGAAAGAAAAGCTAAGATATTTTTAATCACGAGCAGGTCACATGACAAGAGGTTTCTTTTGAAGTTTGCATGCCACTACCATTGAGCTAACTTCAACCTAAAAATCATTTGTTTAACTTCAACTATGCTAGTGCAATATGATAGCGCTTTACCAATAGGAGAATGACACAACCTCCTTGTGCAGTAACTCATCCTAAGTACATGCATTTGAAATAACTTCATTCTTTTCCTTGGCATTGTCGAGGAGGAATTTTTAAAAACTATTCATCAATTACATGAGATTTGCTTGCCACAAGCCTTGAACTCTCACATACCCCATAATCAATCGTGATTCAACTGCGTCTCACATATAGATCATCATGTGACAACCCTTCACCAATAGGAATGCGACACACTCTGCTGATGCATGTAACTCCCTCTATTTGATTCTACCAAACTATCACTTCTCCTTAAGCAGTGATCTAGTACAGATGTTTTTCAGTTGTGTTCTTTTCACGTGTTAATTTTTTTTTTTAATGCAAAGTAGTGATTTACTTGATTTATCCATTTACTACAGCTAATTTTCTGTACTATTTTTCCACAATATCTTACCTTTGTTTATTATTTTTTTCTCCTTTTCGATTTCTTCACAGTTTAAGATGAAATTGGAGGTTTGTGTTTTACACCTGATATTTTTATCACTATCTCGAGTGCCATTACATGAGCTTTGGGTCTGTGGGTCTCGACTGAGGATTTTTTTACTATCATTCCTTGGGAGATTGATCATTATATGTGTCGTCCTTCTTCTTCTGAAAATGTTCAGGTTCCTCCTGCATCGTCCAAACCTGTTCATGATGAGGAACATTTTGACAGCCTTTTTCCTCCTGCTAAGTATGCCATGCCTTCCCATGCTTCTTCTACAGAATTTACTAGGCTTAACTCTGCCTTTTTGGATATGCTTTCTCAGGTGTGTTCCATTTGTTCGTTTTCACCGATTTCATATGATACTGGCCCTTCCTTGTTACATAACACCCATCTTTAGAGTACTATGCTTTCCCTTCTTCCCTAGACATCAGGGTTCATGCTGAACATTTCATTTCTCAGTTGAGGACTGGTGTTAGTATGCCTCATCCTCCATGATCTTATGATCATTATATTGTGGCTTGTTATAGTTTTCCTGTTATAACTTTTAATACAGTAAACATATCTTCATGAAATTTTGCAGATTATCAGTAAACATTACATGGCTTTCATACACAAAATATCAGATTTTTTATTAAGCTCTAAGATTTTTCAAGTAATGTTTTCTTATGCATTTTTTCCTTTCGAATGTTGACTATCCAACATGCAAAGTAAGTTTGATTTTAAGATTAAAAATACTTTTATGCATCAGAAAATTTTCAAATTTCACGTGCGAAACTTAATAACCTTTAGATATTTATCAAATGTTTTCTTTTTCGAAAAAAAATTATATTTGATCTGTTTTTT